GGTGTTCTCCAGATCACATCCCAAGGTGTTCTCCAGATCACATCCCATGTTTTAAACTCTCTGCACACAACACACACACGCTAGCTAAGATGCTACAGATGTAGCGCTCCGTTTCTCCCACACATCCTAACCCCCCCACCCCCCGGTCAACAGCTGACATCACTAACATAGTGATAAGCTAGCGCGCAACATGGAACAGCCCCCCCCCCCCCACCCCTGTTTCTTAAAAGGAAATGATGTCATCCCCCTGGCCTGGTCCTGTGACTGTATCCAGGTGTGTGTGGCTGCAGTGACTCACCTGAACTGAGGCAAGGCACAGACCACGACACCTTCAGGGATGCTGCTGGTGTCATATGGCAGGACTTCTGTACTCGTGCTCCAGCCAGTAAAGTCACCTAAGAATGAAAACTTTAGTAACACTTCATGAAACCAAATGGTTGATCAGAAGGTGCTGGTTACTTCTGTGCCTCACCATCTGGTTGAAACCGCGGGGGTCCATGTGGGGGCACTTCAGAGAGCTCAGGCTCAGGTGGGGGGCTGTCCTTACTCAGCCCTGTTGCACACAAGAGGACAAAGAAGCTGTGAACCCAGAACAAATATCACAAGACACACCAAAGTGTGTGTTTTTAGCAGATTTACTGGGTGTGGACAAACATTCTTTAAAGCTGAGCCAGGATCATCCATGAGTCACAGACACACCTTTAAACACCAAGGCTGCTGTACTTACAGCATTCTGCATACTATTAATATAATAATACACACGTGTTTCAGTACATGCATGTTGTATTATCACCCGACACAAGGTTCGGCACAAACACTTTAAAAACGGAAGAAAAATTAACTGTAAAGGCAATAATTAATGGCAGGAAAGAGACGAGAGTTGTCGTCAGCGCTGAGCTTCTTCTTCATCAAGACTTTTACAAACGAGCACTTCCAGGAACTCGTTCCTCGTCTTCTGCTTTTTTACAAGTTCCAGGAAGTGTGCGCCTCGTTGCCTCAGTTCTCCTGTGCAACCAGGAGAACCGCAGCTGTGATCACAAACTGACACAGGAAGTTTGAACAGCTGGATAACGACAATGTAGAAATCAATCAAGTGAAACTCTGGAACAAGACACAGCAATAATTAAAAACACTGCGTGCACATCTCGTGCAAATCTCATGCCATCTACGAGGCAACAGTTTGAAACTAGATCAACTTTTGTACAGAGGTGTCTGGTCAAAGCAGCTAACATTACGTGCACAACTCTCAGCTACTACCACACCCAACCCAACTCCACTGGAATGAAGCCGTGTTCATGTGTCACTAAACTGTTACTTACTGTCACTAAACTGGTACTTACTGTTACTAAACTGTTACTTACTGTTACTTAATGTTACTTACTGTCACTAAACTGGTACTTACTGTTACTTACTGGTACTTACTGGTACTTAATGTTGCGTACTGTTACTTACTGTTACTTACTGTCACTTAATGTTACTAAACTGTTACTAAACTGTTACTTACTGTTACTGGTACTTAATGTTACTTACTGTCACTAAACTGGTACTTACTGTTACTTAATGTTACTTACTGTCACTAAACTGGTACTTACTGTTACTTACTGGTACTTAATGTTGCGTACTGTTACTTACTGTTACTTAATGTTACTAAACTGTTACTTAATGTTACTGTTACTTACTGTCACTAAACTGTTACTTACTGTTAATTACTGTTACTTACTGTTACTTACATACAGCGACAGATTTAAAACCCCTAAAAATCCAACAGTAACCATTGTCTTATGGTTCACGAGATATTTTGCTAACAGAGACAGTTGATTCCAGTAATTTTGGACAAACATTATAAACTACAATGTACAGCTGTTGGAGACGTCACTTGTGTAAAATTAAAAGTTTTGTAGATTTTTGGTCAATTTACTGCGGCCTTAATCTGAAACAAGTTTCCAAAAGTTGATCAGGTTTATTTTTCAACCAGTTACTTTCTCCAAGTCCGTCCAGTAGTCCGAGAGATATTTTACTAACAGACATGGAGAAAAGCCGAAAGGCAGGCGAACAGAACGGTTCTGAGTTGTGGTACCGAACGGAGCCGGGTTCTTCAGCAGGTTCCGGTCCAGAGGCCTGGCTTCAAACACGGACTTCCAGTCCACACCGTCCGGCATGGCGGCGGCCTGCAGAGCCCACTCTGCCTCGCACTTCTTCCTCCAGTCCACGGCGGACATGCTGCACTCACACAGTCCACACTGCACCTGACGCGCGCAGGAACATCCACCTCACCGTGCCAAGCCACGCGCCGCGCCCCTCTGACGCAATGTGGGGAAGTCCCCGCGTGACGCTGCACGGACTCTTAAAGTCACAGCACGTCAGCGTCTCACACATGGACTCCATCCATCCATCCATCCATCCATCCATCCATCCATCCATCCATCCATCCATCCATCCATTATCTTTATATAAATGTATACATTATATATATATATATATATATATATATATATATATATATATATAT